CAGGTGCAGCACCACTGAGCTAAATCCTCGGCTCTGTAGTTAGTTTTAAAAAATGATCTTAATTGGTTTTAGCTTATTTTATGTAAGTCCTCCAACTTAGTTTTCTTCAAGACTAATTTTGTAGTTTTGATGCCATGACATGCATCTTACAATTAGGCTTTCAGTTTTTACAGAGAAATCTGGGGTTCTGAGAGGGATTGCCTTGGATTTGGTAATATTGCCATCTTAACAATATTAAGTCTCCCAGTACATGAACATGGATTGTTTTTCCAATCTTATATGTCTTTTATTTATTCTAACAATATTTTGTGGTTTTCAGAATAAAAGTTTTACATTTTTTCATTCAATTTATTCCTAAATGTTTAATTATGTTTGTTGCTTTTATAAATTGAATTGTTTTCTTAATTTCATTTTGGATTCTTCATTGGAAGTGTATAGAAATAGAATTGTTTTCTGTGTATTGATTTTGTATCCGGCAACCTAGCTAAGTAATTAACTTGCTAACCATAGCTTAAACCAAATGAGTGTATTGGCTGAGGCGATAACATTAATTATTAGTTCTAATTTATTTTTAGGGTATTCTTTAGTATTTTCTATGTATAAGATTATGTAATCTAAAAATAGTGATAGTTTTACTTTTTGTCTTTTCAATACAAATATCTTTATTATTTTTCTTTTCTAATTGCCTTGGCTGGACTCTAGTACGATATTGAATAGAAGTGGTGAAGGTAGACATCCTTGTTTTGTTTAGGCCTTAGGAAGAAGGCATCCAGTCTTCTCCATCAAGTATGACATTACCTATGTGGTTTTTATAGATGGCCCTTATTTAACAGAAAAGTTCCCTGCTCTGCCTCATGTGTTGAGTGCTTTTTTGTTTGTTTGTTTTTGTTGTCATGAAAGGGTGTTGAATTTTGCCAAATATTTTTTCCTGCATCTATTGAGATGATCATGTGGTTTATTTTATTGTGTTTGTTTTTTATTCCATGGATTATTACATTAATTGATTTTCAGATGTTATCAGTACATTTTTGTTGAATGCGTCCTGTGCTAATAGTATGTTTGGAAATAAAATTGAACTTGTATTGTGTTCTGGAGGTATCAGCTGCCTATGGCTGTCTTTGGAGGGGGACTCCTCTACTCTGGCTTCAGCTTGCTCTTCTCGGGCTCTCTTTTCAGTGCCAGCATAGTTACTTACACCAGTCAAGTCCAAACTTACACTACAGCCAGGTAGACGTGTTTCAGGTTAATTAGGGGCCTCAGTCAATTTAGTTCATGGGCTGTAATTACAAGCACCTAAGACCTGCAATTTCTGTTTTAATTAAAATAAACAATGTGGAGGGCCTGACATCACACCAGGGCAACTGGTGTGGAAGGAATAGGTAATTACACCAAAGGAGAGCCTTTTGCTGTGAGGCAGTCTATTGGGATCCACAGAGGAACACTGGGCCTGGCTATCCTGGTGAATACTAATTACCCACTGCCAACCACAGCCTCAACCAGACAGGTGGGTTGGTCACGGTGATGACATTAGAACACATTTCTTTCAAGCTGGAACTGAGCTGTGACCTTTGAAGCATATGAAGATTTGTGTATATTTACATATATGATGGCTCTTTAAATATATTTAATTATGACATGCTTCCATGCATGGATTCAATGGGACAAAGCATTCTTGTTTTAACTGGTAGATTTTAGGATCCTTTTGGGGAGGGAATTACCCTTGTTTATAATAATAATAATTCATTTAGAAAGAGTAAGACATATATTCACTGTTTAGCCCTATAAATTAAAAGAATATGGGGATGGGGGTATAACAGGGAATAGAAAATGGTACAGGAAGTGGAGGGAAGCAGGATACATTGTGGGAGAGTGAAGTCTTTGAAGATTACCACCAACAGATGATTGGTAGTCAGGGTGGCTCAGGGATGCATAAAAACAAGGTATTTAGTACTTATTTTAAAATTCTTTGATTTTTGTGATATCAACACCTTCAGGAACTGCAAACCTTCATTAAAGTCATCAACACACATGTTTTGTATGATTATTTTTTTAAAATGGAAATCAAGGAAGGATTGAATTCCATGTTTGAGTAGGTATGTAGGAGGTTATACATAAGTGAGAAAGTGGATACAGAACAGGGAGCCAAAGAGTGTAAGTCTCTGAGAATTTTTAGAAATCTTGAGCAGGAAGTGTACTTGGCACAGGCTCTGAAAGCTAGTCCACATTTGTTTTGGAAAATAAACTTCATCATGGCATTCTGCCATTTGAATGTCTCTCCATTGCTACTAGGAGAAAGTATGCAGATATTTAGATGGTTATGATTAGCTGAAAAATTACCTCCAAAGATCTCTGGTCCTAATCCCTGAAACCGATAAATATTGCTTTTGTTTTTTCTTTTGAAAGAAGAGTCTTTGCAGATGTGATTAAGTTAAGGAGTTTGAGAAGGGGAGATTATCCTGGATTATCTGGGTGGGCCCTGGATACAGGCACATGTTCTTTAGAGAAAGGGGCAAGATGAAGTTTTACCACACACAGAGAGCAGAACACAGACAAAGGGGAGGAACAGTGTACCAGGAGGCAGAGATTAGAGTGATGTGACCAAAATCCAGGGAAGCTGTAGACCCTCGAAGTTGGAAGAGGCAAAGAATGGATTTTCCTCTAGAGTCACTGAAAGGAGCACTGGCCTATGCAGTCCTCTCCAGCCCTGCGGTCTGCTGTTTAATGACCTCCATCTCCCATCTGTACACCTGTATATGCTGCTTTTCCCACCTGGAACACTCTCCTAGTCTCTGCCAACCCTGAGAGATGTGCCGAGCTAGACTAGCTTACAAACAAGGGACCAGTGCTGTCTCTGGTGCCATCTCAGGCTGAGACACAGTCCTTGCACTCATTCTTGCTGGCCAAGGCTCCAGGTTACAGCAGGTCATCTTACCTATGACTGTACCAGGTGTCCTCAAACTGAAAGTTTCTTAGACACAGTGAAATAAACACAAGGTTTGGTGTAGAAAGCTGGATGAGGATCTTGTTTTTGCTGCTTACATGCTCTGTGATCTTGTGTAAATTACTTAAATTTCTGAGCTTCAGTTCTCACATCTATAAAAAGGGGCTTATAAAAGTGACTTTTAAGTGTTGCTAATGTTTTTGACATAGATCTCTGGAGCATTCCCTCAATGTGGAAAGCCAAAGTCCTCACTTTTGTGTCAAATACATTTACTTAGCATATTGAGATAGCACATGAGAGTGCTTGTGTACCCTGCCCCCACCACGTTGTCTGAGGTTCCCTTTTCTAAGGGTGCTTTGTCTGGCTGTTTACCCAGCTAGAGGGAAATCTCTAAGGGGACAGTTTGAGGCCAAGAGGAGGCCAGTGGGCAAGGCAAGGGGCTGAGCATGTATTAAGTCTTGAAACTGGGCTGAGCTTCCAGTCATGCCATAGCCAGAACTCCACAGCTGGCCGAGAGCTGGCAGCTTTGGGGAAAGTAAGATTTACAAATATGGTGGGCAGATGGGTGCAATGAGTGAGCACTGGAAACTTTTCCTGGACCCACTGAACCTACCTGAGGCTCTCAAGAGAGAGGACAGACATGAGCTCTGCTGTGCCTGTTCATGTGCAAATGCACATGCACATACACACATGCACAAACACACACACAAGCCTCTCTGGGGAGCTCCTCCATTCACAGACACATACAGGCACACAAATATTTGTAGGCACACTTACACTTTATATTTCTATTGCATTCATTTTTGTTATTTCAGAGCCACATTTCACCTTCTTTCCCCAGTTGGATGTTTGGAAAAAAATCAGAGAGGAAACTGAGGCTCACAGGTGTGCAGTTCCTTTATCAAGGTTGTGCAGTTCCTTTATCAAATTCATGCAGCTTTCATACAGCAGAATTTAATCTGAAGCCCAAGATTCACAAATGTTGCTGTCTAATTAGGCTGCCCTTCTACACACACACACACACACACACACACACACACACACACACACAGAGCTTTGCTCATTTGTACAACAAAAGCATCATGGTGGGACAGTTATAAGCATGGACTCCAGTCAATGCTTATCTTTGCCACATTTTAATTATGTGATCTTGAGCAGCCACTTCTCCTTTCTGTGTCTCAGTTTCCTCATCTGTAATATGGAGATGATAAGAGAGCCCTGTGTCATAGGGTTGTAGAGAACATTAAAGGAGATGATGAATTAAGGTTCATGGCACCCTGCCCATCACACAGTAAACGCCCAATAAATATTATCTTTGCTCAGTCACAAACATTTTTGTAGGCATTGGGGATGCTCACCCAGTCAAGTCCCATGTGCTGGGAGAGGTGAGATAATGTTTCAAATGTGGCTTAAAAGGAAAGACAATAAACTTCTTAGAGCCCCTAGATCTGGTAGAGAGACTAAGAAAAGCCTGGAATAGAGTCCCACTGTGGTGCTGACTTGTCCTCCAGGGCCTGCTGTAAGGGGACCCTTTTCTACCCACTGCCCAGCCTGTGGTTCTGTGCCTACTCACTTCAGGTTCTGTATCCGGGCAGGCCTGGGGAGATGAGCCCCACAGCACAGGGCAGCTCCCTAGCCAGTGCAAGGGACAGGAGGACCAGTCAGCCAGTCCTTGATCATCTCATTCCAGGGATCTGCACAAGCTGGTACAAGCTCACAGAGGGCAGGAGATAGCAGGGCCCCAGACGCTTCTGCGGTTTGTTTGGGCAGAAATCTCCCTGCCTGGGCTGGGCTGTCTGTTCCCTGAGGCTGCTTTGGGATCTGAGAAACCAGGATCTGCCACTCTGGACATCCTGTCCCCTTCTTCTGTCCTGCACTCCTACCTCCAAATTCAAACCCCAGAAAAAGGATTATCAGTAGTTTGAATCCCTACACTCCTGGTGGAAGGGAGGTTTCTGATAATCCTACCTCATTGTGATGTCATGAGGATTCAGTGAGATAATGCATGAAACACACCAACAATATGGCAGCAATTATTGCCATTATTACTGTTGTCATCATCATCATTATAGGATCCTGAAGGTACTCTGGCCTGGGGTTATAACCAGTTACTAGTCATGTGACATCAGGCAACTAACATCTCTATGCCTCAGTTTCCTGAAATGCACACTGCTTGCTCTTTTTGAAGCCTCCTCCCTCTAGCCTCATTCAAAGTCTCCAAAACTCTTGCTGGATAATTCTAATGGCCACCATTTCTGCGGAAAGCTGGGTAAGTGACTTAATGTCTTTGAACTTCAGTTTCCTGATCAAATGAATGGGGCAAATACAAGAATCCATTCACAGTGCAATTAAAAAGATAAAAAGATAAAAGGTGGCAAGTGCCTTGCTTAGTGCCTGGCCCATGTCTGCAAGTGGTTTCAAGGTTGTTCATGACAAGGAGGCTGGAAGGGAGAGTTAAAGTCGAAACACTGAGATTTCTTGTTTTCACTCTTGGTCCTACCACATCTCAGACCACAAGGCTCAGCCCTTGAGAACATGTCCTGGTTTTCCTTGAATTTCTGGTGGTTTTCCTGTCTCTCTTATTCATCAATTTTCCTTAAGTAGTCGTCTTTTAAAGTCTGTTATTTTTCAGAATTCCATGCTTTGTTTCCTCCTTTTACTAAATAGTTTCTTCGACTTGCAAAATTCACCTCTCTGTCCTGGTCCATCTCAAATCATCATCTGCTATCCTGAGATTTCTCTTAAACTTAAAAAAAAATTATATTGTGAAATAGGAAGCAAAGGTTCAAAGGGGAAGGGGAAGTAGGAGAGGGTGGGGAAAGTAAAGAAGGGAAAGAAAAAAATATGAGAAAATAAGAAAAAAGGGAAACAAAGCTTTCCTCTTGAACTTTGAATCTAAATATTCAACTGTCTGCTAAAAATTTGTACTTGGATGTATCAGAGGAAACTTGAACTCAACATTCCTAATCCTGACTAGTCATCTTCTCAAATCTGTCTTCTGTCTTCTGTATCTTAGCAATTCTAGCACCATCCACAAAGTTGACTTAGAAATCTGTGTAACATCTTAACGTTTCTTCCTCTCTCATGTCCCTCCCTCCCTCCCTCCTATCCTACCTTCCTTTCTTCCTTCTACTCAACAAGTCTTTCAAGTATTTACAAATTGTCTGCTATATGTCAGTGATTATACTACTTGTTTGGTCACCAGTTCATTAATTCCTCTATTTTCCCTAAATGCCTAAGAATCATATCAGCCAGTTGAAAAATGGCAATTGTAATATATACTTAGGAAGAAAAGAAATTTAGCACAATGTATTGTGTCATTCCAAGAATTAATGGATGGGATGGAAAAATTGGTTTGAGGCCAAGCTCCTAAGAACATCTCGAACTACCTTGCATATCTGATTTACTGGTGAAACGGCCACTGCTGCTGCTCACACCCAGACCACAATAAACACCAAGAGCCTGGGTTTATTGCAAAGCACTGCTGACAGCAGTACTGCTGCTGCTTCTGGGTTGGTGGGTACTGTTCAGAGGTTGAAAGCCCTATCATTCCCTGTACCAGCCACACTGTATGTGAGCACCAAACAGGGCCAGTTCCTTGAGTTGAGCACTTCCAGGCCAGAACATCTAACTGACGCGAGAAGGTCATGTGTTGGGGGGCAGAGGAGCAAGGAGCCTGGGAATCATTTGTGTTTTGACTTTTGCATCAGAGATTGGATCTCATTATGTCTTACTTTTCCAAAATTGCAAATGGTTGTTGAAAAGATGATGGAGAGCCATACAAAAAATGACAAATATCTAGTACAAAAATCCATTTTCTACTCTTTATTGTCATGGGTGATGCCTTAGGCCTCTTGTCATCTCCTTTTGATCTGTGTTTAGCCCTATCCTCACTCTGGCTGCTGGACGATTTTCTTTTACAGCCTAGTTCTGACATTGGCTGTCCAGGGAGCTTCTATGGTACCCATTGCTCTAGTACTTCAGCCACTCTGGTGTCCATCACAGTCTGTCCTCCGTGTTGGTCAGTGAAGGTGAAACTTTTAAGAGACAGAGTGCTAAACTGCGACCCCAAACCCACTTATTGCAAAGTGCCAACACTGTAATTAAACCTGAATGGTGAGGTTTAGTTTAGAAAAAGCAACTCATATATTAACATCTTTTGCCTTAAAAGAAAAACAAAGTAACACTTGTGCCATAAGTTTGCCACCACTGGTGAGGGCTTTCAGTCTCATCCTTTGCCTTCCCCCTACCCCAGGACACACACACACACACACACACACACACACACACACACACACACGCACTCTTCCAGAAATAAAGAGAGGAAAGGCACAATAGCCATCGAGTGACTGTTTCTCAATGACATTTTAAAGATGACACTGAACCTGCTGTCATGAACCCAACATAAATTAGAGTCCCAGAAGAGGCAAGGTGAATTGGGTGAAGGCCCAAATAGAACATGCCTGAGCTTGTCTTGGGGACATTTTAAATGATAGAATTTAAATATTCTCTGCATTGGACCTCTCATCACTAGGGCTCACATTTCTGGGTTCAGTATCTCTGTGTGCTGCTCTTTTAAATGGGGATCCATTGACAAAAGCTCCTATGTCTGAGACTTTGAAGAAAGGAGTACTTCTGTGTCTGTCTCTGCCTTTTTGCTTCTGTCTACTGCTGCCTTTCTTCAACTTAATTCCCAAGCTGGGGCCCAGAGCTCACCCCTCTCTCTTCCACCCTCCTTAGCCTGATGTAGTTGTACCTGACAAAACTCCCAGGCCAGTGAGCCAGAAGGTAGTGGGTGGGGAGAGTTAGGGGCAGAGCTTGTCACCCAGTGAGCATGGGCCACCAATCCCAAGCAGCACAAGATGAATAATTGTTTAGGGACCAAAGTCATGACTACAGGGTGTGACCTCACTCTCTGTAACTGGGAGTCAGAGAAGAAGAGAAATTTCCTGAAAAAACATTTCCTGGTGTTCAAAAGATGAACATCAGAGGTTTGTAGCAGCTTGGTGGAAACTTTCCATTCTTCCAAGAGCGAGTGGTCTCAGATTCAGTGGGGTGGGGCCAGGCTCTCTGGACTGGTTCCTTCTCTGTCCCCCCACCACGCCTTGCCCAGTTCTTGTTCCGTGATGAATGCTACAGTAAGTTTATTGAGAATCTTTTTTTTTTTTTGGTACCGGGGATCGAACTCAGGTCCCCGTGCTTGTGCAGCAGGCAGTGAAACCACTGAGCTAAATCCCTGGCCCTTATTGAGAATCTTTTATACCAGCACTGGCTTTTTCTGCTACCTGGGGTCCCAGGCCTGGTGTGTATTCCCACAATGCTCATGTCCTTCATGCTTCATCTGGTGTGTGTGTCTACCTTTCTTTCAACTCAACTTCTGCCTCAGTTTCTTTGCCCAGCTCTCAGCTGGCTGAGATCTGTGATGAAATCTGGCCCATCCAAGTAGGTCTTGATACTCTCTCCCCAGTTTGTTAGGCTGTCCTTCAAGTTAGAAGGCCTATGACCTTGACATTCCTAGCAGTGGACATTAAGTATTACCACTGAAGGTAATAGCACAAGAATTTTATCAGTAACAACAATTTACTGCGAATTATCTAAGTATGTACAGAGGGTGTCTTCTGTGCCTTGGAGGTAGTATCCTCACTGGCTGAGACTACCTGAATTCTCACCTGGAATGCATATTAGTGGTAGAACTTTGGCTACATTAGCCCACATCCTTCCATGAGTATGTTTTCTCCCCTGTGAAATGGGGATAATGTTACCATACAGACATCAGAGGACTATCAGGAGGATTAAGTGAGATGATACACATAAAAGGCTTAGCACATTTTCTGAGATATAGGAAGTGATAATAATAATAAAACCAATAGCTTTCATTATTTGCTTGTTTTATAAAAGATTGCTTATATTAATAATTAAGGTTCAATTATTGTATAACTAAATGAACTCATTTTAAATGATCAATTCACTGAATATGGTTACTGACCCATCATCAATATATGGGACATTTCCATCCCTGCCAAAATCTTCTTGGTAGCTCTTTCATGTCTCCTCAATCTCCCACCTCTGACCTAGGCAACCACTGATCTACTCTCTTACATTAGATTAAATTTATCCCTTGTAGAACTTATAAATAAAATCATAGCATTTATTCTCTTGTGTTCTGGCTTGTCTTGTTCAATAAGGTGGTTCAATAAGGTGCTATGTCATGCATCAACATTTTATTCATTTTTATTGTTGAGTGTAATGCCATTGCGTGGGTTATACTGTACCAGTTGATGGGGATTTGAGTTGTTTCCATTTTGAGTAACCATTAAGTTTCCCTAAACATTCACACATGTCTTTGTACGGACATATGTTTTCACTTCTCTTAGGTAAATGTCTAGAAGTGAGATTATTGGGTTATAAATGTATGTTTAACTTCATAAGAAACTTCCAGAGTGGTTGTACTAGTTTACATTCTGCCATCAGTGTGTGAGAGTTCCAGTTGCTCTATTTCCTTCTCAACACTTGTTATTGTCAGTCTTCTTAATTTTAGCCATTCTAATTGGCATATCTTGCTATTTCATTTTGCTATTAACCCATATTCTCTTGTGAGTAATGATCTTTTGTGTATGTATTGATTATTTATATATCTTCTCTTTAGAAGTGTTTTTTCACTAAAAATGTAAGCTCTTTTCCTTATTATTGAGTTGTAAGGGTTTTTTTTGGGGGGGGGTACTGGGGATCAAACTCAGGACCTTGCACTTGTGAGGCAGGCAGCGGAACCACTGAGCTAAATCCCTGGCCCTGTAAGGGTTTTATTTTTACTGGAAGTCCTTCATCAGACCTATATGTTATGATTATTTTTTTAGTATATAATTTGTTTTTTGTTACCTTAATTGTACTATGTTTTGGTACCAGAGATTGAACTCAGGACCTTGCGCTTGTGAGGCAGGCACAGTGCCACTGAGCTAAGTCCTGGGCCCCTTTAATTGTACTTTTCAAGGAAAAGACATTTACAATTTTGATGAAGTCCAATTTATCATTTTAAAAAATGGGTCAAGTTTTTAGATATTATGTCAAAATATTTGCCTATTCTAATGTTGCAAAGAATGTCCTCTGCTTCTTATAGATCTTTCATAGTTTTAACTTTAAAATTAGGTCTATTATCAATTTTAAAGTTAATTTTTATTTGTGATGTGAGACAAAGGCCAAAATTCTTCTGTTTATTCTTTTTGCATATGCATGTCCAATTATTCCAACATTACTTATGGAAATGTTTATCCTTATCCCATTGGATTACTTTGACATATTTATTTAGAACAAAGTGATCATATGTTTATGGATTTATTTCTGTACTCCCTTGTCTTACATTGATCTATAATATCCATCCTTATGACAGTAACACACTGCGTACATACCAATAACTTTATTGTATGTCTTGAAATCAGGAAGTGGAACTCTTCAAAATTTTCTTTTTTTGCAAAATTGTTTTGGGTCTTCTAGGTATTTTGCATTTTTCACATAAATTTTGGAATCAGTTTGTCAATTTCTTTTAAAAAGATTTCTGAAATTTTGATTGAGCTCTCATTGAGATTATAAATCAATGAGAGGTAAATTTACATTTTAAAAGTTTTGAGTCTTCCAATCCACGAATATAGTATATGCTCCCATTTACTTAAATCATTTTATAACTTATAACAAGAATTTATAACTTTGATTGTATAATTCTTGTGTATATTTTATTTTGTTAAATTTATTCCTAATTATTTCATAGTTTTGAAATGCATTTGTAAGTACTGAAATTTGCAAATGATATTTTACATGTTAATTTCCAGTGGTATGTTGCTGGTACATAGCACACAGAAATGTGATTGAATTTTGTATTTTGACCTTGTAGCTATGATCTTGCTAAACTCACTTAATTCTGCCTGGATTTTTGTGGATTTCATAGAATCTTCTCTGGCTCTTCATCTGTAACAAGGAGATAATGTGAGTACATCTGTATCAGAGAGTTAATGTGAAAACTAAACAAGGTAGCACACTGAAAGGATTTATTCTAGTTCTTGCATATGTTAAATTATAATAATAAAGTGATTAGCACAATCTTTATTATAGGCAACATTGGTCTATCCTTTTAGAAGTGAGGACAGTGGATACTATTGGAAGGCAATAGTGACCAGACACTTGTAGGGTGGGGGCTTCAAGGATGCTCGTATTGTTTTGTTTCTTAAATTTAGTGCTGGTTACACAAATGTGCTCAGTTTGTGGAAATCCAGTGAGCTATGTACTTATGATAGATGTGTGTTGGTGCATGTATGTATGTAACTGGTCCTGGTAATTCTTTTTACATGGATGATTTCATTTAACTATATGATCTGCATGCTACTATTATCCACATTTTTCAACACTGAGAAAACACTGAGACTCCAAGATATGGAGCCACTGTTCAGGTTCAAACATGGATGAGTAGGGAAGGTCAGTGTCATTACAGTTCTCATGCCCTTAGCCATTGTGCTGGGTAGCCTTGTGCTAGCGTCTGGTTGGAAAGCATGCAAAATCTTTGCTTTCAGGACCCCTGGGCATGTTGGTGGATTTTGCCTTACTCAGGCAGGACAGGGCAGTTCTGGTCTGGGCAAGCTGGTTTGAGAGGGGAAGGAGAAGAAAGAGAGGGGTAGAGGAACCCTGGGAAGACCCAGCTGGGCCAGCTGGGTTCTCTCATTACCATCATTCCTGATTGCCAACCTGACCTCTCAGAACTAGTCCACTCCCACACAAACACTGTGTAATTGCCTGATCTGGCCTGGTGAACGGGGTATGGATGGGGGGACGTTTATTTTTCATTAAAAGGTTGGAATGAGATTGTGGGAGGTGGCCCTCAGCAGGAGGAGTTGCCTCAGAAAATGTGCTGACTGGTCCATCCTTATCAGCTCCAAACACATTTCCAGTACCTTCTGCCACATATTGAGCCTTGCTTTCTTCATCTGAAACTATTAATGTTGCCAACCTTACCCGGGCTGGAGGAATGATTGCATGAGAAGATTTGGAGTAGGGAGTGAGAGGCAGCAGGAGACCAGGATTTAAATTCCCTCTCACTTACCAAATGGATTTTGAGCAAGCTTCTTACACCTCCACGGGCCTCAGTTTCTTGATCTGAAAAGTGGGCATTTATTGTTTCTCCTATAAGGTCATCATGAAGGGCCAACTTCATGATAGATTTTAAAATACCTACCAGAAGCCTGAGAATAGTAAGAGCTTGGTGAACAACACATGTTTGTTCAAGCAGCTTTACTTCTCTACCAATCCTGGGTCTATGTGACACAGGTTTCTTAGGAAATGTTTCTTGTATCCTGACTGAGTAATCCCTCCCAGAATCCTCTCTTGAACTCCTGCAGTAATCTATGCCACATTCATATGTCCCCACAATATATGACTGAAATGCATCCAATTGTCTTTTCTTTGGACCATGCAGTGGCAGACAGATTCTCTTTACTCATGGCTGGAAATTTCCTCCCACCCTTCCTTATGTGATGAATTCTGGGAGAATTCTGAGTGTAGTGTGGTGCTTCAAGAACCACTGTGACCCTGCATCCCTGGTAACAAGACTATAAGTAAGCTTATAACTAAGGTGAAAATGGAGTGTCAAGTGGAGGCCAGTCTTGGGCTCTGCCCCGAACTTTCTGGTCTCTTCCTTGGCAACATGTGCAGAAGGCCTGAACCAGGCTAGGTTCACACTTGGACCTATCATACTTTTCTCAAGTCCCCCTAACAGGTCACAGATTCTCTCAAGTTCAAGTCTTTTCTCTTACAATTTCCTGGCTCCTTCTGCCTGCACCACACTTCCATCTTCTCTTTCTTTCTATATTGTCTAAGAGGATGCCTTAGCATGGACATCATTCCTCTAGGAAGCTTTTCCTGACCGACTTGTTTAGGTCAGAAGCCTCATCTCTGTGTCTCTGAAGCCTTTCTGATTCCACATCATAGGATGGAATGACCTGTATTCCAAGTCTTTACTGCTTGTCAGTATCCCTCCGATCCCCTCAGATTATCAATGCCCAGAGTGCAGAATCTTTTGTTAATCATTATGCTCCCAATATGTAATGCATGATAGGTGCTCAACATATACTTATTAAATGAATGAATACTCTATTTGAGCATCCAAATATTGCTTTCATACATTAGGTAAGGGGGAACCAGAACAGGGATCACCGAGTAACTGAAGAGACTCAATAATTTAGGACTTCATGAAGACAACAAAAATGTTAGTGGATAATACTGAGCTCTCATTTAGAATGAAAAACCTTTATGGGTAACTTGAAGGCACTAGAATGGAAAAATCCTATCCATGATTTAGTGTGAGGGCCTTCTGTAGGCATCCACTTCATCATCACTGAGGACCTGGGGAAAACCCAAGGCTGTGAACAGCCAAGAGAATAGGCCATGTTCTGGTACTTCATGGAGACACTTTTTTCTGAAGATGCTTTCCTGTTTTTGGTCACACATATCTGGCCTCACTTTATTGTTTGCAGAAATTCAAGCTGCTTCTTGTGTTCTTGCCCAAAAATGTTTTTTTTTTTAATGGACCACCAATGAAATCCCTAAATGTTCCTAAGGAGCTTTGCATGCTCTTATGTACTGTGTAAAATGGCTGCCCCAGCTTTTTATTCTATGGATCAAGCCCTTCCCCCTATCCTATGTGCCCAGGGCTACACTTAAGATCCATAATCTGGGCTTCTAAATTCTCCATGGTCCATCCATGATTAGAGTTGTTGGGAGGAATTAATAAAGAGGTAGGGAAAGTAACTTCCTGAATTTGATTTGAGCTGAAAATGGATTCCCCTACTGAATAGAAACATGGCCACTGTGACACTTAATGGTAATTGTTAACTGTCCCCCTTCACACTCACAGGGAGGCTTACTCTGCATTATGTATAAGCTGCTCTCAGTCTTTCTCTTAATCCTGTCTGTAGCAAGGGGTCTGATTGGCTAATAAGCATTCTAGCACACTAACAAGCCTGAACTCTCTGCTGGGGATAACAAGATAAGACACTACTTGCTGTTTTGAAAGAATTCAAAGTCTAGATATAAAATATTCAAATAAATAAGAGTAAATGTGAGTTGTTTGTAAGGGATATCAGGAAAAGTAGCACTACAGGAAGCATTGCAAAGGCGTGGTGGTATAAAAACATCTGATGCACTCAGAAAGCTGGAAGACACCAAAGTGACAGAATGCTGGGGGGACCTGGAAGAAGGTATGACTGGGCAACAAGAGTCAGGCTATAGCGAGGGTCTTGAATACTCTGCTCAGATGCTTATATTAGAGGGAAGCCTTGAGTACTTCCAAGCAGAGAGTGATATTTTCTTTTTTTTTTCCCATTAAGTTTATTGGTACATTTTAGGAATAAAATACAGTTACATTGATCATTGCGATCTTGTACTATTACATGAGTATCTTGGTTCTTATTTTTTTCCCTTTCCCTGCCCACCCTTCACCCCCTCCATCCTTCCCTATTTGCAAAGACTTTGTTTCCATTTTTTTCCTTTTCTCATATTTTTTCTTTTCCCATCTTTCCTTTCCCCTACCACTCTCACTTTCCCTGCTCCTTTAGACCTTTTCTTCCTATTACACAATATCAATTATACATTT